ACACCCAAGAACCCTGCTCTGTCACTTTCTAGATGTCTTCAGAGTGTAAAGATGAAGAAAGGCAACACTGTCAAGTATAAATAAAATTTCAATATATTCATAGACATCCGGGGTGGGAAAGCAAGATCCACATACATTTGAAGAGGACTGTATGATAGAGAGAGTACATGTAAGCGTGACTAGTAAATAGTGAGTGAATGATGTTTTGTCAACAAAACTGACTTTTTATGACATTAGCAGTACGCTTTGAAATTATTCATTGGCATTTAAAGTGATATCCAAGCTGAAAATGTCAAAAAACAAACTGAGAGCTAGCTTAACCTGTCTAGGAAATAGTGTCTGCTATTCCGCATTTTTTGTTTCCATAGGTAACATCGACACTAACGTTCTTGTTTTAAGAGAATGACTGAAAAAAATATATCTATCTATCTATCCATATATATATATATATATATATATATATATATATATATATATATATATATATATATATATATATATATATATATATATATATATATGCTAGTGACATTAAGTAGTTTTCTATATGACTTTACGGGGAAGGTATTTCAGCCCTTTGGTTACAAAACCTCAACTACATGTAGTTAATGAAAATATCGCCTAGTCCTACTTCAAAGCTTTATTTAGGTCGTGAATGTAATCGCCTTGAGAACGTAGAGGAAGCAAGGCAGCATAGCAGTATTGCTTTCATTGCTGAATCTTAGGAAGTAAGGTAGATAAAAGGTCTCATTTAGACATTCAGGAAATCTGCCGTTTTTCACACAGAGAGTATTATTGGGTTTTATTTTTTACCTCGACTGATGGAACTGACGCGCTAACATAAACAAAGAACTTTGTCTACGTGGGGCATGTATTATGGAATATTTTCCTTAAATGATGTTTATTTCTTAAGAACACTGGCGTTTTTCACTTAGCAAATGAAACCATATCTGCTTATGTCTATTTTTGACAGACTGAGGCATCTAGATCATTGGGACCTGTAGACTTGGACGTACGACTACCTCGATCCATTAAGCCGCTCCATTATGTGGTCAAACTTCAACCCTTCATCAATGGCAACTTCAGCATCGTCGGCTACATGGAGGTGGAGATGGAGGTTCTGGAACCCACTTCCAACATCACTCTCCACATATCGGATATCATCACTAAAAACGACACCGTAAAGGGGATAAGCTTCAATATACTATTGGGTAATATTGATACATAACGTAGATGTAGCTCATTTGAACAAGACTTAATGTTTAACAACTGAAGCAGGTTTCTTCGTTCCACAAGCTCTGGGATAGTACACAGGAGTTTCAAAATTCTTCTTTTCTGTTTCAGGTTTCAGATCAAGCAACATCCCGAGGCTTGAGGATCAAGAAACACGAGTATGACCATAGTCGTCACTTTTACATTGCCCATTTGAGGAAAGAGCTCCAGAAGGGAAAAAGGTACATCCTGTCCATGGAGTTCCTTGGTTATCTTAATGATAAGCTGCGTGGCTTCTACAGAGCGACCTACAAGGATGTTGATGGTAACATCAGGTAAATATTCTGTAACTGTACCCATTTCATAGTATACTAAAGACTATTTGCATATTATCGCTATAATCTCCGTCCAGAAATGCGGCTGCGACCCAGTTCCAGCCCACCGCCGCCCGCAAGGCCTTCCCTTGCTTCGACGAGCCCGCACTGAAGGCAACCTTTGAAATTCACCTCGCAAGGGAATCTTGGATGACGACCCTCTCCAACATGCCCATTGCCGAAACGGTGCCTGTGTGAGTAGCACTTCATGATGAAACAAATGTTATTCTATAGTTTAGATAAATGTCTTAATACCTTCCAATGCATCTTTTGATTAAACTGAATTTGTAATCCAACAGTGAAGGACAGGAGGGATGGATGTGGGATCGTTACGAGAAGAGTGTCCCTATGTCCACTTACCTGGTTGCCTTCGTCGTGTCCGACTACGTTCATATCAACTCGACCGAGAATGACCGTGTAGATTTTCGAGGTAATGACATTTTATCGAAGCTAGGTTCATCAGTGTTAATTTGTGTTTCTGAGTGAGTGATCAAGACAGATAGAAAGCGAGTACCTTTCATGCATATGTTCTTGTGATAACAACATAATTATTGTCAAATTTATCATTCTGCTGATATATTATAAAGAATCATGAGTAGTTTTCATTATTGTGGCCGTGAGCATGTGCAAAACAGCATGATCAGGGGTGACTGTGCTTAACATTCTAACCAGAAAAATTCTCTGGCAGTGTGGGCACGACAAGAGACCATAGATCAAGCAGAATATGCAAATGAGATAGGTCCCAAGATCTTACGTTTCTTTGAAGATTATTTCAACCTATCTTATCCCCTTCCGAAGATGGACATGATTGCATTAACCGACTTCTCTGCAGGAGCTATGGAGAACTGGGGTCTAATAACTTACAGGTAATGCAGTGACATTAGCACAGAGGCCTTGTATTACAACACCATTATGTATTGTTTTAAACATTATACCCATTTTACTCAGGAGCCGGGATTAGTGATATATTTGTATACAGAGAAAGGGTCGAGAGTAAGGATGTAAGGGTTCTGTGTGAAGTTTAAGACAAAAAGAAGCCATACTTGTATAATTGGCTGACCTCAACTCATCCTTCTGAAGGCATTGCTACCAGCTGGTATAGAATTATCATTGAGCTAAAACTGGAAAGCTGTATATCGCTCTATAAAATATCAAATATGATGTAACCTTATTGCTCACAGCATGCACAACCCTATTTCTAGCTATGACAGAGTTCTTGTTATTAATTCTACTCTCATTTTTAACAGAGAAAGTATCTTCTTGTATGACCCACAAGTTTCAACCCCAGTCGACAAGGCAGTTATTGCAAGTATTGTATCTCATGAGTTGGCTCACCAGTGGTTTGGCAATCTGGTGACGCCTAAGTGGTGGGACGACTTGTGGCTCAACGAGGGATTCGCTACTTATATAAGTTACCTTGGTGTAGATCATGTAAGTTACTTGAGTCATGATATTCATAGTAAATCCAATAATATACAATAATGAATAAAACATGCAAAACCATATACATATAAATTTCTTTTGCTTATGTTCAAAAGGTAGAACCAACGTGGAAGGCAATGGAAGAAATCGTCGTTGAAATAGTCCATCGTGTGTTCGATCTAGACAGCCTGGAGTCCTCCCACAGGATCAACATTCCCGTCTCAAACCCGGACGAGATATCCGAAGTCTTTGATGAGATATCATACAATAAAGGTCAGTATCTTTCTTTGTTTTTGTTTTTTTTTTGTCTATCTCATTGCTTATCTATATTTTCTTTCTACAATGATCTAGGAGCGTCTATCATCCGGATGATGACCCACTACCTCACAGAGCCGACCTTTAGAAAGGGATTGAACAACTATCTAAAAGCACTGTAAATATGCTAATATAAGTGTACCTTATGACACGTAATACTAATTGGATTAATGACTCAGCTTAAAGGTTTGAAATTTATATTGTGCTACTTTGCAATTCTCAAGTCTCGCTCTATATATTATGATCCTGAACATATGTCCATTTTCATGTAGCACATACAATAGTTCTGTGCAAGACGACCTGTGGAAGCATCTGACTCTGGCGGCTCACGAGGACGGCATTCTGCCCCAGGAGGTGACTGTGAAGATGATCATGGACACGTGGACGCTGCAGATGGGATACCCCGTCGTGAAGGTGACAAGGAGCCCCGACGGAACCTCTGCTACTTTGACACAGGTGAGTTTGTACTTAATGACTTGATGGAAAGGAAATCAGTAAACATATCATTTGGCCCTATATATACCCCGCCTTAATTTCCAGGAGCGGTTCCTCTTAGAAGGGAGCGCAAACTCTTCCAGCACCACGGATTACAAGTGGTGGGTGCCTCTGACCTTCACGACCCAGAACGAGGCCAACTTCAGCCAGACTCAAGCCAGTTTATGGATGAAGGACTCTGAGGATCATGTCACCGTCTTTCTCTTCCCCCGAAGGACCAGTGGGTCTTTCAACCTGCAGCAGGCGGCCTACTACTACGACGACCACAACTGGAATCTTATTATCCAACAGCTGAAGAAGGACCACCAGGTTATTTCCCCATCAACAGAGGGCAGATTGTCGATGATGCCATGAACCTTGCTAGGGCTGGTACAGTAATCTTTATCTTTTTAATAGTATTTCTTTCTTCTACTAAGGAATTCTATAGCTGTTTTCTATGCATATATGGATATTCAAGAATTACTATGATTTCCTTGTCTGTATTACTCAAGAACGTCATATTTTCATACACTAACGCACAGGGAGTGAACGTGTATTTTTGATGAGTTAAAATATTTGCGTGTTCCAAAATTAGTAATGAAAATCATTTTATGATTTCGTAATTTTTGATTAGCAAAAATGGATACCTTCCATTCAGGTCATCTCAGCTACAAGCTCGCCCTGGACGTTTTACTGTATCTGCGAAATGAAGGAGAATATCTGCCTTGGGCTACAGGCGCCAGAAATTCGTTTACATAGAGAGTATGTTCAAACGCAGAAGGGATTCGGCGCTCTCAAGGTGAGGCTCGGAGGCTCACACGGAGTTTTACTTGCTGCGATGAAACCGCAACCGATATGCCGAATTGTTTGATCATTTATTTACCAGAATATAAATGTATATATACATATATGTATGTAATATCTATATCTATCTATCTATATATATATATATATGTGTGTTTGTATATGTATGTATATGTGTGTGTATGTATGTATGTATGTATACACATACATACGCGTATATGAACATTCTTTCTTTCCAGCGTTACCTCCTGGATTTGGTGTTGCCGCTCTACGAGTCCGTTGGGTTCGACAACAACATCGAGGACTCTTTCTTGGAGCAAAAAAGAGGAAAATAGCCGTGAAATGGGCTTGCAGACTGGGCCACAAGGACTGCCTCAACAAAGCGCTCACTCTCTACAG